ATTTCTTAATTTTGAAGTGTTTGGAGGTTACCCTGTTATTTTTCTTTTATTGATTTCTTGTTTAATTATGTAGAGAGAAGATTGACTTTAATTCTTTTAAATGTGTTAAGGTGTGTTTTCTGATGCATGGGGAGACTCATATGTACTTGAAAATAATGTGCCATTCTTTAACTTTTAGAGTCCTCAAATAGTTGCTCCACGTATTATTCCTAAATTTACAACTGCAATTCATTGATAATGACAGGGTGGAGTTTGCTTGTTTTGTTTGACCCAGAATCAGAGTCTTTCATGTCACTTTGCTGAAACTTTTTCATTGATAAATTCTAGATTCTGGAATATTTTGACCTTCTATGGGTCAAAAAACTAGAAAACAGATAAAAAATTGATGATGAAAATACCTCTGATTTTTACGTAAATGCTATCTCCTTTTCTATAAAATGGGATAATTAATCTGGCCTATGTCCTTCAAAGACTTATTTGTTATAGCTGTACAAGACCTGCTCAGTAAGTTAGACAAGGGAAAAAGGACCTGGGTCGGATCAGTACTCAAGCAAGCAATATGGCTGCAGGGCTAACCTCACACAGGGATGACCTGCCAGGTTTGTGCCTTGGTGTTAGTGGCCATGTTTTCAGTAGGCAGGTTATAGCAAAGGGTGTCTGTTGGCCAGGAATGAAGCAGGTGATACCAGCTTCATGGTTACAAGAGGCTTATCCAGTTCAGAGAACACCTTACAAGGCACAGGGTGCAGGCTCCTGGAAAAGTGCTGAAAAACACCAGGTTGAAGGTCCAAGTCCCGACCAGGCTCATGGGCTTCAAAGAGTAGCCATGATCTGAATATAGAGCTATAAGTGGAATCAGGAAACTGAGGGAGAAATCAGTTCTGTGGACTATTGAAATGCTGATGTGCAGAATAAAGGCTGAGCAAGTGGTCAGTTAGAAAAATTACCATCCTTGGGGAAGCAAAACTAGTTTTAGCCTGTTACCAGCTGCTCAGTGAGATAATCCAGGGCTAACTCAGAGATGAGACCCTAGCGCTTATTGAGCCTAGGAGAATGCAGAAAATAGAAAGCTTCATATGCAGGGGTCGATGTTAAAGTTCTGAGTGCATGTTAGCTGTCATTATTAACATTGTTGTTGATAGGGGAGACCTAAGTACATATTTGAAACTTCTCGCTAGGTGATATAGGCATCCAATTGTTTCCTGATAAACCAGGAAACAATGGCATTGACTATGAGAGAAGTACCAAAACCTCAGAAAGGAAGTATAAACATGATCATATAGTAAATAAAATGGATAATGCAAGAGAGGCTAACTGGAAATTTATTATATAAAAGTTTCAATCATCTGAAGCAAGGGTAGAGTCTGTTAAAGTCTACTACAGTAATCTAAAGCTACACTGTAATTCAGACCATGAGAAACCATGTGTCATTAGGCAGGTTTCTTTTCTTTCTGACAGTTTCTCCATCTCTGCAAATACCCAGTACTCCATCCCCCCAAGAAACAAGAAACAAGTGGGTTAGAGCATTGGCCTGATATGCCAAGGCTGCAGGTTCAATCTCTGGTCAGGGCGTATACAAGAAGCGACCAATGAATGCATAAATAAGTGAAAGAACAAATATCTCTCTCTCTCTCTCTCTCTCTCTCTCTCTCTCTATCAATCAATAAATACTCCCTATTTTTTAAAAAGTGTATTACTAGTCACAATAATAAAATTCTTAGGCAGAATGCAAGATGATGTTAAATGAACCTGCCTTCTTAGAGAGGTCGCAGACCAGCCAACCTCCTCCCACTAACCTCGGTACCTTTAGTCTGTCAAAAACAGCCGACACAATCACATTTTCTTCTCAGTCTGCTTTATTCTAATTCATCACAGGGCCAGACTGACCCTGGACTTGTCTTTGCACACAAGTTATCTTTTGATTAGCTTTACCTTGGTGACCTGACTCCTTGCTACCTCTGGCATAATCCAGTTACTCATGAGAATATCAATTAAGGTCCTCAATCACCCTAATTAGAATGTCTTCTAAGTGTTGCTTTAGGAATAGTATTAGGGCTGAAAGTACTGTGCCCTGAATCTGAAATGAAATATCTAGTTGCTCTCCACTGACAAGGATTAATGCAGAATTATTAATTAATTTAATTAATGACTTGGATGAGGACCTAGGTGGCATGCTGATCAAGTTTATAGATGACACAAAGCTAGGAGGATAACAATTACTGGGATGACAGACTAGGGAGCCAAAATGATTTCAAGACAGAATTTAGTGGCAATCCATCTAATACGTGCCTGGAAGAATGATCTCCATTAGGCAGAACTGGATGTTAATATCACTCCTCTAATCAGAATCCTTCAATGATTCCCCTATTTGCTGTTAAAATTAAATCCCAAGTTCTTAAGCTGCTACTCAAGTCCATGTTATATTGTAATCCTAACTCTTCCTGCTTTCCAACAAAATCTTCTATATAGTACTTTTCCTAATACCCTGTGCTTGAGCCAAACTGAATTATTTATGGACTCTTTCCTATTTATGGTCCATTTCTCCCTATCTTTGAGCATTATTCTCCATTGAGCTTCCTTTCCACAGACTTTCATTCTGCCTCACTTTTAAATTTCCAAACCAGTTCTTGCTAGTTCAAAAGCTACCTCTTACATTTAGTCTTCTTTGATTGCCTTAGCTAGAGTCATCTCTGTCTTTTTGCTAATCTTCAATTACACTTATCTGTTCCTCTCTGACTATTTTATCACTATTTACTCTGTACTGCAGTTATTTTGTGTACACATTTTAAGGCTCTGCTAAACTCTGCCTGGTGCTAGAATGTCTGCATGCTAAATCTTTACATATCCTATAGAGCTTCTGCATGCGTGTTGCTCATAGCTGATGACATTGAAGTGGTTTGCATGTGGTTTATTTCTTCTACTGTAAAGAAGTGTCCTTAGAGGAGGTCATGCATCTAACTTACTAGAGGCCCCTACAGTTATATCAAAGAGACGTATAAGCAGAAAGTCTTCAATATATGTTTTACTGAACAAAGGAATGATGGAGAGAAGAGTTCCCTAAGGTAATAGTATTTGAATAGGAAGGGAATGGTGGTGATAAGAAAGATGCATTTAATCTTTGAAATTAAACAGTTATTAAGATATAATCAACTCACCTGTTTTGTGTATGGTCATGTTAAAGGAGGAAGCATAGTATAAACCAGAGATTTCTAATAATGTGTGGTCAAGAGAGGTGATAGGGGTTAGAAACTTGCATTGCCTTTTAAAGTCACTACACACTGTGTGGATTTCTTGGACAGTATTAGTTTACACCTATTGTTTCAGTATAATACTCTTAGAATTGTCCCATTTAAATGCTGTTACATGGTCACCCTATTAATCAAGTAACTCTTTGAACTTTTAAGACTGGTGGGCCCTGTGGTTGTAAAGCTTATGACATATGCTAATGTTTGGGATAATAATAGTCTTATAGTTAGCCAGATATGGGTATAAAACTCATCTCTGTCACTTACTAGAAATATGATCTGGACACATATCCAAGACCTCTGATGAGCACCCTTACATATGACTGTTGTGTTCAAAAGTGAAAAGGGAGATCTACAGTATGAAATTTTTCAGTAATGCAAATATTTCAGTATTTATAACCAGGGGCCAGATATGTCTAGGGCATTAGGGAAATAAATATTTCACAGAGTTGTTAAATCTTCAGGCCTTCTGCATTAAAGATCACACAACCAAAAGTAAGGGCATGGTTCTTGCTGGTTGACTGTTCCAACTGGTTATCAATAGAGAGGCTCAAGATCACAGGAATTGGATTTAAGACTCATCATTTATTTTTTCAAGTGAGAAGAGGAAAGCAGCCACAACAGGGCATGTGGTTTATATATTCCCCTTTACTATAAATTCATAGTGTGGTGGAATTCTGACCAAGTCAGATTTCAGGATTTCTAGATTTCCTGTTTATCACGAAGAAGAAAAATTGCCTGGATTATAAAATACTTCCAGTTGGGAACAGACCAAAGGAATGTAAAGAAGGGAAGAAGATCAAACATCTGTTGGGATGTGACTCTAATGAAAAAAAATCCAGAGTGTTTTTATAAATAGGTATTTATAGTTCAGTTTATATATCAGATTAATAAATGGATCTACCTCGTCCATTGCTGGTGGTACAACCACTATGGAAAGCAGTCTTCCTCAAAAAATTAAGAATAGAGCTACCATATGACTCAGCAACCCCACTGCTGGGTATATACCTGAAAAACTTGAAATTATATATTTGCAAAGATATATGCACCCCTATGTTCATTGCAGCACTATTCACCGTGGCCAAGTCATAGAAACAACCAAAGTGTCCCGAGATAGCGAACTGACAAAGAAGATGTGGTACATGTACACAATGGAATACTACTCACCTATGTTGCAACAGCATGGATGGACCTTGAGAACATTATGCTAAGTGAAATAAGTCAGTCAGAAAAAGCTAATAACCATTTGATTTCACTCATATGTGCATATAAAAATGAAACTTATGAACACAAACAGCAATGTAGTGGTTGCCAGAGGGAAGGAGGTGATGAGAGAAAGGGGTCCTAATATAATGTGACAGGAGAAAATATGATTTTGGGTAGTGGGAACATGTGCAATATACAGAAATCTACATGTTCATGTTGATCAATGTCACCCCAATTAATTAATTAGCTAATTAATTAATTAAAAAAGAAGAAAAGAAGGAAGGGTTCTAGAGCCAAGCTGTTGGAGTTTGATTATTACTCTACCACTTTCTACCCAAAGGATCTTGGTTATGTGATTTAAACTTGTTCCAGTTTCTTTATCTGTAACAGGGATTTTTAAAAACCTATCTTATTGGTTGGTTCTGACAATTAAATGTGTTAATAGTAAAATTGTCAGAATAGTTCCTGATCAATAGTCAGTATGCATATGCACTAAATATTATTTAAGCACTGAGAGTAATGAGTCCTCTCCCTTACCTTTTTATTTAGATGGACAAGATGGGACTTCTGTGGTGTGTAATGAGTCTCTACTTCTATGGGATCTTGCAAAGTGATGCCTCGGGTAAGTGAATGGCTTTTGACAATCAATTGAAATGCAAGTCATGCATAGTGAGTTATCTCAAGTCTTTATGAAAATGAACTAAGAGAAAATAATATAGTTTATTTCCATTGTCTTCTGTGGTAGCACAGAATTATAAATTTGACAGAATCAGAGAATTTTGATGGTATGAGGAACCATTGACATCTCTAGTCTTCACAGTACATGGTGCAATTAGGTTAGTGATCTGATGTGTAAAAATGTAGGACTTTTCCTTCACCTTCAGTTCCAAACCGACTAGAACCCTGCTTCTTTTCTTTACATCAGGTCCTATGGGAAAAGAAATGACAGTGATTGTAGCACTGTTTTCCAAACTTGAGGCAGTGGTGGAGAAGGCCTTGGTGGCAACAGTCAATTGAGATGTTATAAAAACAAATAAATAATGATAGGTTTCTGTCATGCTGCTTCTATATAGGAAAAAAAAGACTGGTCAGGCTCAATCTTTCTTTGGGTGTTGCTTCATAATAGGAGCCATCCAAAGCCTTTACTGAGTTTGAATTACCGAACTCAACCATCATGGACCTAGATCAAATGAAATCAGACTTACAAGGGACTTGAAAGTTTATCTTTTCAGGGCTCCTCTCTTCTCCAGAATTACTATTGAGAACTATTTTCTAGTATCTCTAACTAGTGATTAACTAGTTATAACCGGTTATATCTTTGGACTGATAAAATTTTAGATTTTAGTACATATAACTGAAATTTGTCTATATGTCATTTCCATACATTTCTTTGATTCAACTTATTGATTTAAATAGAAAATACATAATTCAATAGTTTTCTAATTTTAATGCAAGGAACCTAGTTATCTTAATTTTAAAAAGCTTTTAATGTATAATTCCCCTAAAAATCTTGGCCATACTTTGAATACCAATGTTTTATTTCCTCTTTTTTGTGAAAGGCCTCCACAAATGTTACAACAGTGATCATATAATCATGACCATGCTCTCTAATATATTCCTGCAGATGTTCTTCACATGACATAGATTTGCGTCCTCCTACCATCCTGATGATATTTTCTGGTCGTTTTTTTTTAGTTTTGCTATGACACTGAAAGCATTTTATTAGAAAACAAAAACAGCACTAAAGGAGAGGAATAACTAGGACAGAGTACAGCTCAAAGCTGAGAGAAGGAGAGATAACTTTCAATCTCGTTGGCCCCTGGGGTCTTCACAGATGAAAGTGTATATTATACAGGGCTGATATTCAGGTGGGATACATGACTATATAGCTCTACTGGCTTTTTAGACTGGCATATATCCTGCTTTAGTGAGTGCTCCATTTGATGGTCGGTGCCATGATGTCCTGATTTTTAAATATGCTGAATATAAACCCTGATCATAGTTTGTTCTTATTTGATTTAATTCTATGCTTACAGAGGCCTTCCTTAATCATCTTCACTAAAATAGCCCTGCCAATCACTATCTATCCTATCCTACTTTAGTTTTCTTATAACTCATTGATGTATTAACTCATTCTGTTCTCTCCTACTCCCTCTCCTTTTCCTACTTCTCTTTTTTCTTCCCCCAATCTCCATCCTACTTTCCCTTCCTTCCTTCCTTCCTTCCTTCCTTCCTTCCTTCCTTCCTTCCTTCCTTCCTTCCTCTCCTCCTCCTCCTCTTTCTTCTTCCTTCTTCCTTCTTCCTTCTTCCTCTCTCTCTCTCTTTCTCCTATTCCTTTCACATCTATTTTTTTAGGCAAATTGGCCAATTTTATAATGGAACTTCTTATTTGGATTCATACCAGTGATCCATCAATGTGGTTTGATATGCTGCCTCACCTTGAAGAGAAAGAGAGAAGTGACTGTATTATTTCTGCTGGGAGAAGAGTGAAGTCCCAGAAGTTGGTGGGTGCTGGTGCTTCCCCAGTGGTCTTGGCAGTGTTGCTTATCTGAATGACCTTTACTGTAATTTTTCCAAAGAACTCCCCCACCCCAAATTCCTTTGGAAAGTGAGCTTTCTACCCAGAAACTATGACTCATAATTCTGCTGGGGAAACTGACTTCTCAAATAAGATAAGTTTTCATACCAGCTTCATTGGGTCACCATGGGAACAGGAAACATGTTGTAGTCCCCTCAGCCCATCTGGCACATATTCATTTGCCTCCTTATGAAAAGGTATATTGTGTTTGTGTCAGTGATGTACTTCCTAGTTGGAGGAGAGGAACAAAAAGAAAGTGTTGTTGACAAAAATAAAAGAGGAAACTGTCTCTGGGCTATAGCGTTCGGGGGATTACTGCACAGGATGGGGGATCAACCAACCTCTCACGCATCAAGGTGCCATCTCTTTTTTAAAAAATATTTTATTGATTTTTTTACAGAGAGGAAGGGAGAGGGATAGAGAGTTAGAAACATTGATGAGAGAGAAACATCAATCAGCTGCCCCCTGCACACTCCCTACTGGGGATGTGCCTACAACCAAGGTACATGCCCTTGACTGGAATCAAACTTGGGACCCTTCAGTCCTCAGGCTGACATTCTATCCACTGAGCCAAAACAGTTAGGGTAAGGTGCCACCTCTTATGATGACATATATGTCAGCAGACTTGTTGGTCTTTCATGCTGTAATGGAGCGACCCGCGGAGACAACCATCAGGGACTCAGATCAAAATTTAGGAGCCTTTTTTTTAAGCTGGCCAGCGACTACAGTTACAGCACCCTGCCGAAGCAGAGGCTGAACTGCAGTCGCTGGCCAGTTTAATAAAGGCTCCTAAATTTTGATCTGAGTCCCTGGTGGTCGTCTCTGTGGGTCGCCGAATTACAATGCAGCTCTTTCTGTGTCAGGTACCCCTTTGAATGGAGCAACAAGATATCTATGTAACAGAGGAGAGATAGACTGAAAACCCTAGAGTACTGTAAATGTATATGATATTAGTAAGAGTTTTATCTTGTTGTTCTGGACCCTTCCATGTGGCTCCTTCTCTTTAGGGAAGCCTCATATTTATAAAAATGAATTATAAGAACATCAGAACCTGAGTTCCATGCGATGTGTTTCAAGAGCAGTGTGTTGGACTTCAAGCCACACGATTCTGACTTTAGAACATGGTCTTTCTTTTAGCAGTACTGTGTGGGATTTCCTTATTTGCTCAGGAACATGGGAGCATCATCTGCATTTCAGGTGGTGATAAAAGCAAATAATCAAAAGCAAGCATTTACTTTCTTTTAAGGAACTAAAGTGTGGATAATTATAATAGTGATAATGTAATTATGATGTGGTAGTTAGGTACAGTGATAATAAACTCCCTTTGCTAAAAAAGCACTTGGCATTTTACATATTCTATGCCATTTGACTCTCACACCCAGACCATGGAATAGTCAGGCAATGTTAAGAAATAATGAGTGTTATGGGAAAACTAAAGCAAGGATAGGATAGTCAAACTCCATTTTTTTTATAAGAAAAAAAGATCACAGTGGTTAAGTGAATTACGTAAAGTCCCATAGCTAATACTTAGCACAACTGTGATTTTAACGAGTTCCTCAGCTCCCACGATGCATGCTCTTCTTACTAAATATACTCCCCTTGGACTCCACTAGGATACAGTTTAGGAAGAAGATTAAGATCTGAGGGGTCACAGGTTTTGCTCACTGTTAAAGAACCACTCAGTCATAGGTTTCGGTGCTTTTTAGATAAGGAGTATCTCACCCCAGACCTCCTTAATATATCATTATTATTATTTAATATATTATTTTTAAGGATGAAAATCACTGTAATGTATGCTTAAAACTCAATATTCCCATTTTTGCTTATTACCATATTAAGCATTTTCAGTATTAAACTCTAAGAAGTTCTCCTTTGCAAGAATTCAAAGGCAAGCAAACTTTGACTTGTCACACATTTCTCTTTTGGCGTTTCATTGGCAGCATGTTAGAAAGTCAAAGTATAAAAGCTGTCTTCAGAGTAGAAATAAATATTTGGAACTTGTGATTTCAAGTTGGAAAGATAGTGAAAACAGCACCCCAGATAGTATGGCGAATTTTAAAAATATTGCCATATCAAAATTTGCGGCACAGACCACCTAAAAATGATAGCGATGCACTTTCTTCTCCAAAAATGTTAGCAATGCATTCCATTTTCTTCTCTACACACACACACACACACACACACACACACACAGACACACACACGAACCTAGCTTTTTATTTAAAAGTGAGCAAACAGTTGACTGTGTGCCAGGTGCAGGGCTAGATTTCACACACATTATCACTAATGTTGCAGAAAACACTGTGGAGGTGTGGAGGTGGAAAATCCCACGCCCATTTTATAGTTTAGGAAATGAAGAGCCAGGGAGGTGGCCAAAGGTAACAGTGCTCATGGGGCACCTACTAGAGCTGATCTTGAAGGCTGCTGCTACTCAAAGGCAGAGTTCTTTTCCTTTATATCACGTTCCCTTCCTTCAGGACGTTGCTCTGCTAATGCAGGTAAAATCCCCGGATTTCTTTTCTGTTCTGTGTAAGAAATTTGCAGAGGGTGGAAATAATCTTTTGCCTTGAGAGTGAATTTACACAGTGCAAAATAAACAAATACCTAAAAAACACTGTGTTTCACCAGGAGTCAAGAGACATTGGCTTAAGTTCTGACTGTTTCATTTTGTGAGTTTTTAATGACGGGAAGATGTCTTTTAATCACTTCGTGACATGGCATCCTTATCAATCAACCAAACCAACCAACCAAGAACAGCAAAGCCCAACCAATGCTGCCTTCTTGCTTTTGTATTAAAGAGGATAAGGCTGTTATTATACATCATGTACACACACAGTGTGCGCTCTGCCCATTTAGATCGTTTCTAATGACAAGTGTTTATCTTACAGATTTCACCTTATTCTAAAGATCATGTGTTTGATCATTTTATATTAAAGAGTCTAGGGCATATATGGGAAGGTTCTTGCTATAAGCATATTACAGTAAAGTCTAAAAGAAAGAAGCAAAATTAAACACCCAATAAAATACCCTGAGAGAGCCGATAATGTTACTAGTTCTGTAGGAACCTATCAGGGAAGACTTCTCAATCAAAGAACAATTGTTCTTGTCAAGAAAAAAATACATCTGTTATTTGGGAACAGAACAGTGCGGTGCAATGAAGGGATGGTGTGAAGGCAATTTAGAAGCCAAGCTGGAAAGGTAGGTTGGGAATAGATTGTGGATGACAGGAATCCCTTCAGGGAAAGCGAATATTTGTGTTGAATGTATTGTAGGTAGAGTTGGTTAGTTCATTTTTATTTTTAATTGTGTTTTACTTTTGTGAGGACATGTAATATCTCCAATGCTATGTAATGGTTCTTTCAGCTTTGAAGAGGATTCCATTTATTGCCAGGCCCAGTGGCCTCATATTACTTGAATGTGTTTTTTTGAAAAACTCCATACTTGGATGTACCTGTGACATTCAGTCTGTCTGGTGCTCATGGCTGGTCATCCTGAACACCCTTCCTTTCTATGCAATTTAGTCCAAACATTTGAGGAATGTTTGAAGAATACCGTTTCTTTTTTTTTTTCTTAGACCTAAAGGTCATCAGAAATAGAACACACCCTCTTGCATTTTAAATGCTGCATCTTGGGATCAGATATCTTTTCTCTTTTATTTTTTTTCCTTTTTTTGAGCTGCATTTGTATTTTGAAACATACTGATGTTTATTTTTAAGTTACTTATACTTCCTGAGGGTCAGGAGCCTGATAGAAAAGAGATCTATGCACCACAGTTTATTGGCCTGATGCTGACTTTGCAAATATAAAACAGCTTTTTGCTTCAGAACAGCTTTTTGCTTCCACAGGGTTAGTTCTTTGTTTAGAAAAATGACTTGACCCATTCCCTTATGTGGCTGTTAAGAGAAACCAGTATTTTTATAGGTAATAAATGGTTGTATATGATTATAGGTGGCAATGTCTGATTTATAGGAATTTATTCTGCCCTTTAAATCACCTTTGTCTCTGCATCCCCACCCCCACTCCCCACAGAACATTTGTCTCTGCCATCTTGAGATCAAATCACCATCTTGATTATCAATGAATTACACCAAGCCAGTTATCACCCATTTTCATTTCACTATTTTTAATTTTTTGCCTATTTTTCTGATAATGTGTTTAGAAAATAAAATGTATATCCACTCTCAACATAACAATGCAATGATTCTTTTATTTTAAAATCCCCTTGGTGCTGCTACTCATTTATTTTTGAGGGACAGAGAAAAAAATGGATACCTTTTACAAATAATCTGGGAACCTCAGTCAACAACTTCAAGGACTGGTCATCCAAAAACATAAAAGCTACTATACAGAATGCCTTCTTTTGTCTTTTCTTATTTTAGAGTCAAGTAGAAACAATGAAAATACAAGATGCTGAGAAAATGAGAGAAAAAAAATAAAATAATCCCACCCTCAGTAACCTAGACTTGGCTGAGTTCTGTTGTTTTCACGAATTTCATTTCTCTTTCTGCCATCTGAATCAAAACTCTTGTTATGGCTGTACATTATTGGGGAATAAATATCACTTTCCTACAGTGTTTGTAGGTTCTCAAATAATAGTTTAAAGCTCTCTGCTAGTCAGTCAGTCCATTTAAAAATAATTTTATTGGGAAAGGAAGGGAGATTTTTAGAGGGAAAGGAAGGGAGAGGGAGAGAGAGAGACAAATATCAATGAGAGTGAATCATTAATGGGCTGCCTCCTACAACCCCATCCTGGGGATCGAGTCTGCAACCTTGGCATGTGCCCTGACTGGGAATCAAACCAGCAACCTTTTTGTGCATGAGACTATGCCCAAACAACTGAGCTACACCAGCCAGGGCAGCCCATTGATTTTTGTTTTTCCTTCTGAGTTACTTTCATATTTTTTGAGATAGGCAGGAGGGTGCATTTTTTTTATGTATACTGAGGTACTGATGTTTGCACATTTTGTTCACTTATTTAAGAGACCATTGTATTCCCTTTAAATTTGGGGCTTGCCATACTAATGAGAAGGACCAAGTGAGGAGTATTTGCCAACTATTGTTTCCTCTTTGGAATCAGTGTCATCTACATCATAAGTGTAGACACTCAAAAGAAGAAAAAAAAAAGCACAGAAAGAGAGCACATCCATCAGTCACTAGTGGTTCCTCTACATCAATACAGCTCTTTATTAATAAATGTCATGGGTTTTATTTGATTCCTAATTACTTAAACTTTCAGTAGAACTATAGTTGAAATATAAGACT